ACACACACACACACACACACACACACAGAGGAGATGGGAACCCTTATTGCATAGTTAAGTGCGATTCATTCATCTACATGCACTGAGCCTGCTGCAGAAGTTCTGCTCACACCCACACATTTAGCAGCACAGCAAGGATTTCACTCTTATTTCAGGTTACTGAGTGAATCAGATGTTATGAAATGATGTCATTTCTAACTGGCGAGCTTATATTTAACACACCACGTGTCTTAACGGCCCGAACCTGTATTTTGAGTAAAAAGAAGAAGAAAAAAGAGCCCAAATGCCACGACTGAATTGTGACAATCCAACTTTAAGCTGATCTGAAAAGCCACTGGTTCTTTTTGACAAGCCCGCATCTCCTCGGCACTTAATAGTCAGCGAGTTCATCAGTTCTGAGTCCATAATTAATCAGCCCGAGCGTGTGAGCGGGACTGGTGCCTTTCTCTTAACATCACGTACAGCAACCCACGCCCTCCGGGCCATCAGTGGATTAATGATAAGTGCCTTTGATAGGAGAGCCCCTCACAAAGGCTTTATTAATTAGCCTAACACCGACGCCGTGGCCGCAGTGTGCAACACGTCCCCGCTAATCAAAACTTTAAAGGGGCACGATCGACCTCCCAATCACCCGCACGACATCAAACCCCTGACGCCTGCGTGCATTAAGTTGCCGCTGAAAGTGCACCATTTGCAAATGAGGGGCAACTTTCACACGTCGGTGAAGACACGGTTATGCGCGCTTTACAAAGACGCCCGTGAATCATTGATCAGACAGGTGGGATCGAGTAGTGGCTACGGCATAAATCAGAGGTAAGGAGGGACACTATCCAAAACTGCCCAGATGTCGCCAAAGTGGAAGCAAAAATGAAAACGACGGAGACCAGATGCGTCGTACTCACTCGTCCCCGGTGCCTTAGAGGAGCATCCCGGTCTCTCACGGCCAGCTTTTCAGATGAGTTCTCCTGGGACAGCGCGCCTTGATCCTCACTATCATTCTTTGCAAGGCTTCAGCCTCCTCACAGCCTCCCTTTACTCTTCTTCTTTGGCATTACAAAAGAAAAAAAATACAACGAAGAAAATCAAACCCGTTGCATGCCAAATAAAATTCTCCTTCAGGTGTTGTTTCGGGGTTGCTCTCGTCCGTCTCTCGGTGTGCAGGGCAGAAGTGACAGAAGCGGATTCCTATTTGAGGGGATGCTGACGCGCAACCGGAGGGGTTCGCCTCCTGTCTTTTTCATCTGGCTCCATCAGCAGCCCTCGGTTGGACAGCACCATGTGACTGAAAATAGCGTCAAACACACGCGATGGCACGCTTACTTCCTGTTACCGTACTTCAAAATAAAACACTATATCTAAAGTTTTGGGGAAAGGAAACTGAAGAAGAATCCCATTAATAGTAAAGTAGAAATCACCAAAAAGATAGTAGATTAAATTTGATTTCATCTTGCAAAATGAATAAATAAATAAAATTAGACAGGTTTATTTCGAATATTTAAAAGAATAAAGTATAGTTGACATTTATGAACATTGATCAAAGCTAATCTCCGACATATTAATTCAAATAAAAAGCAAAGTAAACAATGCTTTTATTTGCATATAAAATATTATTTATATCCATTCCCAGCTACGTGTTAAGTTTGCAACAGCGAATACCAAAAACATGAATCCCACGTTTGAACTGGCAATAAAATATAGTAAAAAGAAGAAAAAAAAAATAGAAAAAAAATAGTGATGGAAAGTATGCCTCTAGCGCTGTTGTCCTTTTAAAATGCCACAAACACTGTCTTTCTCATATCAGATCATTAATAAATATTAACGTAGAATTAAAGCCTGTACTAAAGAAAAGTTATTTTTAATACCACACAACAGAGAGGCCTGTATAGGTTTAAAATTAAGGACAAGATTTGACATGGTCATCTGGGGATTTTGCATGTTTTTCTCTTTATGTCTTTTTAGTTCCTTCTTCATATTTTCTTGTCTTAAATTGGTCTGAATCGATTGTGGGGCTGATATCTCTCTCTAGCAGTATCTGCTGTTGATTTAGCATAAACTCAAGCTGATTTCTTCTCTGGTTAGGAAAACTTTGTGATTTCCCCTGAAGTCTAACCAGCACGAAATATATTACTTTCATTTTGAAGGGGTTCCTCTTCACCTCTTTTCCGGCTTCAATCTCTATTGACGCACCTGTGAAGGCACCCATTCAATTAAGACTGACCTCACAGAGAGTGCCTCCAAGCGACCGCAGTTAGAGTAACACCGACTTCTCAAAAAATTATCCTGAGGAGAAATATTTCCTTTCCGAAGTATTGTCAGTTATTGACGTGTTCCTTATAGCAGCCTCTGTATTCCTTGTTTATCGAGTTCTGAACTCTTTAATAGCAAACAAAGAAAAGGAAAAAAATCAGATGGGACTGCGCCCCCATCGTCACATGCACTGTATAACTTTAAACTTTTATGAGCATAGCCTAAATAAAGAAAACATTCATATGCGTGTTGGAAAGCCGGCGGTGGCTGTAATTTGAAGCTGTGTAAGCTAGTTCGTGTTGACAAATCTCCCACAGAGCTGAAGGGAGCAGCTCATTTCGCGTTTGATTTAAAGTTAGGTTGTAATGTATTTCAGTTGCACCACTGCAAAAATATCCGGTGTTGTTTTTGTTAACCCCCCCTAGCTGACATACTCATTTCTGCCTGAATAATGACATCATTTGCGAACCTTTGGTGTGAGCAAACTACTGTTGCAAGAACAATAATTTGGGGGAAATCAAGTCTTTCAGGCTGCTGTAATTATATGGATTCAATTTCTTTTGCTCTCATGTCTCAGAAATGATGAATTGGCCCTTTGATAAAAGTGAAAAAGACTTCTGTTGAGTGCTGCAGGACAAAATCCTCACTGGTGTGTTTGAGCGCCAAAAACGTGTGAGAAGAGAATCAGTGAGGAAAAAAGAAGGAGAGAAGGAGAAGAAAGAGAAGTAAAAGCGACAGGCTAAGACGCTTTTTCAAAGACAGACAGGCCTTGTCCTTTTGAGATCTTTTCCTATTGTTGTCCACTGTGGGCCAGACTCTTGGGTCTCCTCCACAATGCAGGTCCCCTCAGAGCAGTGCACCACTGGCTCTCCTGTCACTTCACATTAGTGTCTTCATGGAGAACAGCAGCCCCGGAGGGCCACACTTGTCATGAAAGAAGTACTCTGGATACACACCCACCCACTCACACACACACGCATACACACACATTATGCAGACTGTGAAGATAGGAGGTGTCAGGCAAAATGAGAACACAAGGAGAACCTCCATCAAGGCTTCCAACAGAACTTTTAACAGTGACCTTATTTCAGCCTTGTGCTTGCCTCTCTGTCTCACTCTCTCCCACCCAACCAGCAACCCAAATACACACAAGCACAGATTTATGGCACACGTTCAGAAGCCGTGTTCTCATGAGAAATGCGGCCTAGGAATAAATAAGCTTCACGTATGTCTTGCACTTACAGACTTGATGTGTAACAGTGAAACATGCCATCTGCTACAGGCAAACAGAACAATCACTCACACGGAACCAAGCAAACACCTTTATTCAATGAAATATGACAAGATAAATACTATTTAGAATTTGGAATAAAAATGTGAAAGTAACCACCCCTAACCCCCAAAAACAAAAACAACCCAAAACAAAACAGTATCACTTGAATGTTAAGCTTGAACAGTATTTCCTGGCTATAACTAACTCAGGTCCCCATAACCTTTTGAGCATTAACTGCAATTACTGTCATTCTTCTATTATAATGTATTTGATTGTCTTTAAATAACTTCTAGCTGTTAGTTTACAGGAACCAGGTGGATCTTGAGTACATAAGCGAGCACACCATGACAGCTGATGAAGGTGGTGTGATTTGGCGAAAAAATATAAGGCTGACAGTCTGACGCCTGGAAGAATACATTGGCAAAAAATATTTTCATATTTTAGTGATTTGATTTTTAATTATTTATTGCCATCGTCACAAATTTTGAATAAAAAGTAATTCATAGTCCAGCTGTACAACATGTAGTAAATGCTCACCTGCTGGGATTATGTAACACGATGCGCCATTGCTTATCTCTCTGAAATAAAAGTACCGGAGCATACGCAAACTGTAAGTCATCACTCTATTGGGAAACAGGGGCAGGTGGATTGCCAGAACGTTTACTCGGGTTTCAGCTTTTCAGTTTTTCTTTTCTTTTCTTTTTTCTTTTTTCCATGCCTGATTCGTGCCTGCTCGTCGGCTTCCTCAAATACCCTGAGGTTATTTTTGGCGATGGGAGGGAGGAGCTCCTCCTGGGCCGGCTGGACGCAAGAGGGCAGGGCGGCGCACGGAGGAGGAGAGAGGAGAGGAACAGTACTTTAAAGGGAAAGAGCGCGGGAGTGTGTGATGAAATGAGATGTGAAGTGTTCCCTCACTCAGAGCCTGCAGACACGTAAAAGATTTAAGAAGCTAGTGAGGGGAGAGGTGGGACCTGCCTTCGTGCGCTCCTGCAGAGGGAGAGGTAGACTGAGAGACTTGCTGCTAAGATCCTCTCTCTTTTAAATTATACCGACCACTGGTTGCCTAAAAGGCAAGTGGAGATTCACACAAAGGGTCTGGGGAAGCAGGGCAAGAGGGTTTTGGGGGGGCAAAAGATGCACGTAAAGTGAAAACAGACTGGAAGTTGTGCGTAAATAAACTAAGCTAATTACATCACGGAATTAAAAACATCTTTAAACGGAACCCCTTAAGATTTAAGGAACACACAGGAGCTTAAATAGTTTTAATTATTAGTGAAGAAGCTGTCAAGAGCACCAGTACGATGGTTTATTAAATATGAAAAGAGACGCCTTGACGCAAATAGTAGAAAATTATGTTTTGTGTGATGTAGGTCTTTGTTGAAACTTGCCAGGGTGTGTGTCGACACACAGCCACGAGATGGAGCCAGTTCTCCATCAACTGCAACCTCACAGATAGCAGCGGTGTAACCTGGTATCCGTCCTGACGCTCTAATATACGTCCGAGTTTCTCTAGCGTCATTAATTCACAAATAATACGAAATTCTAAAAACACAAGTGCACTTCTTGACAATTTCCACTGCCCAAATGAGATTAATCTCCATTTCTGCAAATCTAATTGGCTCATTTCTTTTTAATTAGTCCAACAGGGACCGAGTTTTATTCGCCACGATAATAAACTAACCTGTGTTAAAATATTTCGACTTATAAAGCGCGAAATTTATCGACTGCCACAGTCAGAAACCAGTTGACGCCCTCAGTCAGCCCTGTCTCAGCCTCGGTTTTACTACCCCACCACCGCGACCACCTCCCACCCCCTCCTCCCTTTTTTTTCTTTTCTTTTTTCTTTCTTTTTTTTTTTTTTACACACCGGCTCGCAACCACCCTCCCAGTCAGTCACCTCAAGTGCGGCCGAGCGGCTGGAGCGGAGGCAAACAAACACATCCAGAGCATCCGGAGCGACTCTCGTCTATCGTGTTTTGGGCTCAAGTAAAAGAGACCGGGGTGGAAGAGAAGAATGGGACGCCGGTGCTTGGATCAACACTGAGTCCTGCCGGCACACCGAGAGCTCCTCTGACTTTTTCTTTTTCCCCCTCCCAGAGTCACCGTGTTTTCACCGCTGACACAATGGGCTGCTGCAGCGGACGATGCACTCTCATCTTTATTTGCACTTTACAGCTGGTGAGTTGTTCCACACTTCTGCACTTTTTAGCTGTTAGAAGTTGTATTCTACGAGGAAGCCACTGCGTGTTTGACAAAGGAATTAGTTTCCAATACAGTGTCTGTTTTTACATGGGCAGGAGCTCGGCTTCTGTTGGAGGATGCTGAAAACTGATGAAGACATGTTAAATTATTTATTTATTTATTTTTAACTTTAAGTAGGATCCTACTTAAAACAAATCTTCATTCGTCATGTCTACTGAATCCAGTTTGTTTAAACATAGTAGTTCTGGGAATAATCGTCGATTTTTAACTTGTGTGTTTTAGTGAAGAAGAGTTGTGTTGACATGAGTTGTAACAGACAACATGTGGTGTTGTTGGTCCAAAGAACTCAACTTCTCGGAGCACCAGAAGCCTTAAGCAGCTGTACAGAGATATGACAGAGCAAATTTATACAATATTATAATTGAGTCCCATCTTCCACCTGCACTAACCATCATTCTAACTAACCATCATCTTTGTATTGGTGTTACTTAAGTGTTCATATAGCCACTTAATGTATTTCACATTTGTGTAGTATAGTTCTCATGTAAAACATTGGCTAA